GAAGTATCTCATGTAGAAATGCTGTATATCTTTTTGATAATCAAGTGTTTCTTAGAGTAGAAGTCAAATCATAGCACCTGGCTATAAATGCAGCTTAGATCCTGACAATAGACTGTGAAAAACAAATGAAGAGATGGTTTCTCATTAGCTTAACTCCCACTGAACAAGGAAATCCATCCCTAATGCCTTCATTAACAGTCATTTCATAATGACCCTGGACAAACCTTTCATCAGGACTTGGCCAAGGCACTGTATGGAAGGACTTAAGGGCAAGATGTTTCAGGTCTTTCAGACTCCACCAGCAGAAAGTTCCTTTATTACCAAGCCTGTTGGTAGCAGCAGCGGTCTGCACTGCATGGACCTAGTGAATAGATTAGCATTTATGTCTCATTTAGCAATTATTATTCCTTCTAGTTTCCCTCACTTTTCACAGTAGCATTCCCATCAGAGGCCCTCAGAAGTACCCTCCCAGCACTGCAGGAGGTACTTTTGCTTTGGCTCACATGGTCTGTGTGGCAAGGCAGGCGTTCACATGTGCTTTACTACTGATCCTAGCTGCACTGCCACAATACAGCTGTCAATCTCTTACCTGCTGGCAGAGGATTATCACAGCTTTCCAACATGGAAAAAGCGTGGGATGGACTAACATAGAATCATAGAATAGTTTGGGTTGGAAGGGACCTTTAAAGGTCATCTAGTCCAACCCCCCTGCCGTGGGCAGGGACATCTTCAAGTAGATCAGGTTGCTCAGAGCCCCGTCCAACCTGACCTGGAATGTTTCCAGGGATGGGGCATCCACCACCTCTCTGGGCAACCTGGGCCAGTGCTTCACCACCCTCAGCCTAAAAAATTGCTTCCTTCTATCTAGTCTAAATCTACCCCCCTTTAGTTTAAAGCCGTTCCCCCTTGTCCTGTCGCAACAGGCCCTGCTAAAAAGTTTGCCGCCATCTTTATTATAAGCCCCCTTTAAGTACTGACAGGCTGCAGTAAGGTCTCCCCGAAGCCTTCTCTTCTCCAGGCTGAACAACCCCAACTCTCTCAGCCTTTCTTCACAGGAGAGCTGTTCCATCCCCCTGAGCATTTTTGTGACCCTCCTCTGGACCCGCTCCAACAGGGCCGTGTCTTTCCTGTGCTGAGGGCTCCAGAGCTGGAAGCAGTGCTCCAGGTGGGGTCTCACCAGAGCAGACTTGTCTAACTGGGCCAGATTCCACTGCATCCGTGAAGGAGGTAGATTTGCCTCTAGGCTGTGGGAAGTAAGCTATTTGCAGGAGTGTTAGTGGTAAAAATGGAATAACTGCCAGTCTTGCACCCTCCAGGCACTTCATCTGAGTCCTACTTGGAGCATTGGTCACAAGGCAAGATGCAAACCTCCTGCCTGGCCTGCTTCAGACCTTAGCAGCCACTTGTTACCCATGAGGAGCTAGTGCAAACCAGGAACTGTGCCAGGAGAGGCTCCTGGGATGGACAGGGATGGTGGCAGAGATCAAACAAAAACTGAAATCAGGGGACAGCCCCAGGCTGTGGGGACAGTGCTGTCAGGGCATAGCACTAGCTCTTCTAGCGCTCACTAGTGTCAGAGGCGAAAGCACAGGGGTGGTGGTAGTGGCAGCTCCTGGTGCATAAGCTGACCTGCTTGTAAAGTTCGTAGTAACAACTCCTTTCCAGGACAGCTCTCAGCATTGCAAGGGTCTACCACTGAGGTGAAAATATCAAAGTATCTCAGGAAACACTGACTTTGAGAAATTCAGTTGCAGCAGAGTTTCACTCAGGAAAGCAATGAGACAGCCTTTCCAACACCAGCAAGCCTTTCTCATTCACACCACTCCATCACTTTCCATTACCAGAAGCATTTATTTTTCATCGAAGTGCTTCCAGCATCAGTATGCAGTTAAACCATATTATTTTTCAAATCAGGGTCTGAAAACAGCCTGTACCAAATTGTTTCCCCTATTTCCTTCTGCCAACCAGTGTCTCTCATGGCTCAGCCATGTGTTCCCAGGCTACGAGCCCAGCTGCTGTTGTAAACCACGCTCCAAGCACATGTTCTTGCATGGGATGTTCATTATTATTTTCAGAATTATTTTATTGGTATATGTCCTCACTGCATGCCCCCAAAGGGCT